TCCCAGAATCGCCAGCCACAAAGTAGACTTCGCTGATAATTCAAGCGCATTTAATTGGACTTCAGAGCATGAGCTCTGCGAAATTAATTGCGAACAGCTGCTAGGATTAATGATTCTGTAACGGGTCTCGTGATCGAGTATGTACAAACATCTGAAGACGGATCGCTACGCTTCCCCCCTCCTAGATTCTACAGCATTGTTCGAGAACGACGGCAAGGCATTCACTTTGATCTTAGTCCTAATTCTTACAAACGAAGAAGAAAAAAAAAATTGCCTTTTAGTTTTTTTTTTCAGAATTAGACATTAAATATTTTAGCAAAATTAGCCTTCAAAGCGTCACGTAAATCTCCATAAAAAAGGAAGGAGCACTCTCTTCTAGCCTTTGTGATAGCAGTTGTAGATGGGGGTTGTTCGCGGCCTGTTGTTTGTGTGACGTCAGGGAGTCGTCCCCGATCTATTAACGTCAGGCGGAGTGGAGATAGGTTCGGAGTGACAGTGATGGATCAAAACCAACACAAGGATCACCGGTGCTGGATTTCACGACAGAGGGCTGGCGACGATTCCAATGTCTGTCTGTCCAACTCACCGTCACCGCTCCTTCCCTTTCTTTCTCTTTTTGTTTATTACTTTCTCCCTTCCCCCTTCTAATGCTTTGTTTCGTTTATTTCGCTCCCTTCTGTGTTGTTCTCTCCACGCCCTCTTCGGGTATTAAGCGTTTAACTGTTTTTAATTCCCTTTCTTCCCCGTGTTTCTCATTTTCTCCCTTGGAAGCACTGGGGGTTTGGGGAAAAAGAATTATTTTTGGAAAGCTTGTGGGATTCGATGGATGGATTTTGGAAGCAAAAGAAGTTTTTGGTGTGCCACCAAGATGTTGTACTGCGTTTGTTTTCTCGCTCATTTAAAATGATTTGCAAGACAGTTTGAAATTTAAGCAATTTAGAGGTTTTCTTTTTTGAATTCTTAAAATTTAAAATTCTTTTCTTTATTAATTTATATTTGCTTGTGTATAAAAAAAATGCTATGTGTCAAATTGCGTGTTTATCGCCGCATATATGACGCTAATAAATGAATGCTAATTAATAAATATCAAAATTTTAAGTAGTAGATAATTGATTAATAATGAAAAAATATCCTTTTTTTAGTCTTATTCTGACATAACATTTATGTATGAGCCCAGCATTTCAAAACTTTTACATAAACTGTAGTGAATTTAGAAGAATAGTTTTATTTCCAAATATGAACAGTCCCCGATCCTAACACATGTACTTTTCAAAAATATATAACGTATTTCGTTTTAAATGAAGGAGTCAAATAATTTTAAGTTATCATAAACATAAATGTTAAATAAAAACATGTAACATAACATAAAATTGCTAATAAAATAGTGCAGAATAGTTGAAATTAATTAAGAAATACTTGTATTTATTCACAAACTGATAACTACATACATTTTCATGCTATTAAAAATATGATTATTAATGTAAAATAAAACACAACACACAAAGTAAAATCAAATAGGGCTAAAATCGTAGTAAACTCTTTTCCTTCCACTTTTAACTGTCCAGTCTTTCTTATCACATTTTTTAAGTTTATTTGATCAACAATTTTATGCTCAATCGCTGAAATGGTCAAATTACTCAGAGGATTTTGCGTAATAATCGAACT